GCTAACTTCTCGATATAGTTTTCCATCGGCGACACCGTTGTGTTTAAAGCTAAGGTACGCGCATCTTTCGTTATCGGGCTGCGGATCACAAACGGAACTGAGAGGGTCGGGGTGACCAACTGTCATCCATTCAAGTCCAGAGTACATCCCCATCTACGCAACACGTCCATTCCCTGTATTACATCGTATGGAATAGCCTCAGCGATAATCATGGAATGCTTCTGTGCCTGGCCCGCTAGTGATATTTTAGCAACCGTCGTCCCCAAGACGGATATCGGCGCGCCGTTGGCCGCAGTGAGACGTTCGAGACATGGACTCACTGCATACCCCTTCAATTTACGCAGAACTGAACCTTTAAAGGGTGATCGGGAGGCACCTGTATCTATCAGCGCTAAGCATATAAGGTTACAATCATCAATCATCGATCATCAATTTGTCCTGGCTATTCGACTGGCAGAAAACGGTGGGGATATTTAACGTTTTGTTTTGATTAGACTCACCAGGTTGTCGTCCACCGTAGTTGAATATCCTGTTATACCAAGGGGCTGGTGGTCTGTGCTGGAACGGATAGTTGGGCCGCCACTGTCGTCGCATTCCTCGGCCTCTCTGCCACGCTTGGTGTCCGACTTCTTGTGCCCCATAGTGTCCCACTGCTAGGCATTCTCGGGGTGCTGCTGTGGCCGCCTCCAGCTTCTCCAGATCTTCTACACGTTTGACAGCCATCTCCAAGTCCGATAGTGGGTGCAAGAGCAGATGACGTCGTACATTATTGGACCTGAACCCCTCGACTAGTTGCTCCAGCAGCTTCTTCTCCAGTTCCCATGCTCTGCTGGCTAGTTGGCGCAATTCCCGCACAAAACTTCGCACGCCCTCACCGTCGTATTGGTGCCGTGCGTTGAATTGCTTCCTATATTCCATGGACAGCAGGGGTGAATCTAATAACCGTCGAAGGCACGCAAATGTTTCTGCTGTGACGCCCCCCTTCATGCAGTCCGCCTCGGTCACCATCGGTCATCGAAGGCCTCTCCACCGAGTAAAGATAACACCAAATTGGGATGACGTTCAGGTGGAAAATTTTCAACATATATTTTCACCTGCTTCTCCCACCGCTGAAACTTGTCTCCAACATTGTACTTCTCCGGGACTGAGCAGGCCGCTGCTGGTTCCATGGTGGATAGTTTTTCTAATCGTTCCGTTAGCGCACTCAGAACATTCGCCAGCTGCGTGCCTCCAGTGTCCACCGTCTGCCCGGTCGCGTCTTCACTTTTCGGAGTCTCAGGCATATTCTGGGATTGATCCTGGCAGGGTCGCCAATTTTGTAACAGGCAATCCCGGGAGAAGACTCTTGAAGAATCAGGAAATTATATTGTACATAACGGCAGTGAGCCTTCACTTGTCTCTGGGTTCTTCGTCTGTCTTTTTGCGATCCTTCACCGTTGTGGTAATGATTGGATAAACTGCAACGCAAAGGAAAGGCAGCTCCGTCAGAACCTCACAGTTCAAAATGCCCGGTCTAATTAATAATAATAATGTATATTTCATGAAACCCGTGAAGCATGCACAAGGCATGATCATATGAAATATTGATTTTCTCTACAGGGGATCGATCAAATGACTTTGAACATTTGAATCAAGCCGCGTTTGGATGCTGCGCGCTTACCCGCAATGAGGTGTCTCACACCGTGCACCTAAACCCCCAGGTCGGGAAACTAGTTAGCCGAACGGCCCAGGCGACGACCGTGTCCGGCTCGCCACAACCAAGTCGCCTGTTTTTCGTCACCGACCGACACACCTAGATACGCTTCCTGGTTGACACAGGCACACAGGTCAGCGTCATACGACCTCGTCTCGCCGACCTCCATCGTCTCTACCGTAGAACTGGTCGCTGCAAACCGCACACCCATCAAAACCTACGGCGAGCGGTCACTCACACTGAACCTCTGTATTCGCCGTAGCATACCCTGGGTATTCATTATCGCCGAACTTCCTCAGTCCATCATTGGTATAGATTTTCTCCGACATTTCAAACTCATGGTTGACCCAGTCAGACATAAGCTCATCGACCGTCTCATCACCTCTGAGACCCGCGGGACACCTACAACTGTTTCGTCAATTATCCACCTCCTGTACGTCCCCGACGCCACTGACAGGTTCCGAGCGGTCCCCTCCGAGTTCCCGGAGTTGTGCAAACCGCCGGACAATCTACCCCAGGCTACC